ACCTCTGTCGTTTAGGACCACAGGACACTGTAAGTATCCAGTTTAAAGTTGCCTGACAATTTTTGCGTGACCCTGGCGTAATTTGTGTCGCCATGGAAATCTGTGAGACCGATCCCAGTCCTCTGTCGAGGCTGGTGGGCTGTTTTCCAACATGGCCGACTTTTGTGGGCGCCACCATCTTGAATTCTTAATTCGGCTCCTGATTGGTCAAGGCGCCATCTTGGATTTGGAGAACAATAGAGCCCATTGTTCTCCAAACAATAGCCTACTGTCTTTCTCAGCTCCTGATTGGTTACTGCTCATATGAGCCACCATTACTACTGGCGTTTTTAATAAAACAATTATTCCACTCTTGCTCTTTGGACACGAGGTGATTATAACCAGCTCGGTGCTGCGCCCCTTGTTGGCTATCTACCATAAAACCTACATAAAAAACCCTGAAGTACAAACTCAACAAAATCATTCCATTTGGCTTGTATTCTTTCCAAAACCTTTGGCGACCAGACAGAAAGCGCATTATTCTTGCTACACTCATCAGATGTTCTCACAGGAAAGCCCTGAAATTCACGCAACTTTGGCATAAGAGCCTCCTACCAAGATTCAGGTTTCAAGATTTCTTTCAATACACCAGTTAAGTACACAATTACAATACCAGATATGCATCTAGGCAAAATCTATACATATCAAAAGTACGTTCAAGTTCTGGAAAACAAACAATAGCTTACACAGCAACTATTCTCTGGGACAATATCCCCACTCACCTTAAGATCTCAATGCCTTCAACCTCTCTAAACAAATGAAATTTTATTTACTGTCTGAACAACATTCCGAAAATTTGTTTTGATTTTCTCCATTCCATTCTACCACGTACGCATCTCTTCCCTGAACAATTCTGTATCCTCTTAGATATCTACAGAAACACTGATTACTGGAGACTGACTAGAAAAATTCGGGTTACTTTTTTCTCTAGACACAAACTGTACTTTTTTGTGTCCTTCTATTTATATTTAGTATAAATCTACTAGCGTTCTATCACGAATGCTGTCCTCTGATTGGCTACGCTACTCACGTTCTATTCTGTGATAGATAGTGAGTAGCGCTGCAGCGTGCGCTGGGGGCCGCTTCTTTGTGTTTTCAAAGTGTCTGTGAAGAGGATTTAGATGAAAGTTTTGAACGACTAGTAGATTTATACTAAAACAATTAGATTATTCGCTCTCGATTTCTACTCGTGATAGTTGACTAGGGCGCAGCCCTCGTCAACTATCACGCGATAGAAATCTTGAGCTCATAATCTAATTGTTTAATATATTTCATAAAACTGTAGATGTACGAGTGAATGAATAAACTTGTTGTAGTCATATCCTAGGCTGCGCTCATGGAATAATTGTTAATTATAACATAGCTTGCACTATGTTTCTATTGAGGTACTATGGTATATATATCTCTTTATTAAAACTGGATAATTGACTTGGATAATGCAATTCAAGAGTTTTCATTGGCTTAACCATCATGGGTTATGAGCCATTATACCACGCTCTACAAATATGGTAAGCTTACGCGTAATTTTCTCAGCGTTTGTATGGGAATGCTAAAAAAGACAAGTAAAATAAGGAAATAATTTCACGCGCATTTGCTCAACATTCTAGGCGAGGGAAATCATTTAGTTTTCTATATTTTGGGGGTGTTTTAACAAAACAATTATTCCACTCGTGCTTATTGGATATGAGATGATAACCAAGGTGCTCTTGTGGAATAATTGTTAAATATACACACAGCCGTGCGTATATCACATGGTGTGTGCAGTTGCATTTCAGCTGCAACATTCCCGTCGAGTTTAGCTGTGAGTTCTTGTTGCTAAACTCTATTCGACAGTTAGTGGCAGAGACTAGAGAACAATTTCCAAATTTTTCTCATGGCGGTGACCTTTTAGCCAGAAGCCAGCAAGCGAGAGCAAGCGTAACAAAAACGAAGCAGAATAGGCGCGCTTTCCAAATATATCCCAACAACTTTGCTGTCAATCAGAAATTTCAGATGTTTTCGTGCACAAGTTGTTGCCACTTTGTTATTAACGAATTGTTTCATGCCATGCGTGCGTAAATCGAGTTATGGATGCACACGGTAAGTTTGGAGAGCACGAAAGAAGCGTAAGAGCTGCTTGAGACGCAGCCGAGAGAAGCTCTAGCTTGTTGATCTTCCTCGCGCATCCATACTCAATAAATTATACGCACGCTAAACATGAAACAATTCTCAAATGTATGGCAGGTTCTTGTGTAAAGGGGGCGGTCTAAATGAAGAAACTTAGCCTAACAAGTGCTTAAAATCCAGGTTCTTAATTATATGTGGGTTTTTGTGATTGTATCATTAATGACTGTGAAAAGCATGTCTGAACCAGCAATATCTGCATTTAATTATTTTCTTTTGTAGTACTTGCATTTGCAGGTAACTGCGAATTTACAATTCAAAATAGTCCCACGGAGAGAGAACGCAGCAACCTGTAATTCATCCCCGAACTTGATGCAAGGTCCTGCCGTGTGCTGCCATAACCATTTTCAGAGTACTTATGAGTGCTTGTGTTGGGTTTTGATCTGTTTGTAAGAATGGTATCATACTCTTCGAGTGCTTCAATGAAGATTTGGTCAAAAAACTAGCATTTTTCAAGCTCACGCACTAAGAAAGGTCAGGTGAAAACCCATGTATCAGTTCACTACATACCCCTTTCCATGCTTGTCGTTGTTTCAGGTGCAGCCGCAGCACAGATTTCATCTCTTGTATTTTCAACATCAGATACCGTGTCTGAACCACCCTTATTTTCACTTTCTATCTGTTGTCTTCTTTCTCGCTCAAGAAGGAGGAGTCTACTTTCGACCTGTCGTAGTCTCATGAAAGTGACATCAGTCTCAACTGGCTTGAAGTGCAGATCTGAATCGGACTTTCTCCGACATCTCTCCTGAGGATGTTTGTCAAGGTCGACATTTGACTCTACAAATCGAGACATCATAAAAGATCAAACAGTAAATATTTGGCATGTTTTCTACATTTTGGTGCATTTGGGTACTATTGACCATTCTCCCTTGGCTACATTCTTCTTTTTCGCTTAGCCCTCTTTTTGTATCAATAAGAGATCAGGTCATATTGGTGCGTGTATCTGTTTCGACTTGTGTTTTTCCCCGTCGATTTTGAAATCTCAACCTTCATCCAGTTTGACAATATGGTTGTCACTATCCTGGAAGCTCAATACCTTTCATCGTTAAGGTGGCTGAACACAGTTTTTGATACCTGTGTTTCATTCACCTTTTTCTCTAAANTGAAAATATCTATGTACAGGGTATAGCCACTTCAGTTATAACACTGATATCAAGGTGGGCCCTGTAAAATAAAACAAAGATGAAATGGATATATTTAAAAATAAAAATAAATAAAATGGGAAATTTAAATTAAAATGCTTAAAATACTAAAAAAAACGAAAAATTTAAGGCTTAAAATAATTGCACCCTTGTAATAAATCCATGTTTTGCATCTTCTAGCCTAATTTTATCAATATCAAATCATTTTACAAAAGCATGAATTATTCTGAGCTCATTCAACCTGACAGCCTTGGCCTCTGCTGGAATATTGCTACTAAATTCCATTCAAAGTGTTGTGATGCCACTGAAAGAAATCTGAACACTAATGGCTCATAGATACTTTGCGGTGGTCATTGCTTTTACATTTTATGTCATGTTACACAAAAAAACTGCTTAGTTACCTTTGATTACCAAATCCAAGAGGGCATCTTTATATTCCTGATCATCAATGTATATCGTCACCTCCAAGTCCTCTTCACCTGTAAGTTCTTTCAACTCTTCAGTAACCAGGAACTCCTGCAGTCGTTTCTGCAATGTACCAGCTATATATTCCTTCCGCAACATTTCAAGGGCAGATGGAGTTTCTGCTTGCACAGTAAACAGCAGGCATTTTTCACCAATTGTATGCAGAAAGTTACCAGCAGGCAGTACATAATTGCTGAAAGCATTCATGTAATCTTGAAGGGTTTTCGCATGGTATACGATAAAACCAGCACAAACAACCACTAAGATGCCATGAGCATTACGTAAGGTAGTTTGAATGTTAATCGCTGTTGGAAAAAGGAATGCAATCTTATTATGTACAACTTATTACTATTTTGCGTAACAGAAAAATATATATATATTGACCCACAATATACAGATACTCCTTAAGGAATAACTGTAAATTATTAGTACTCTATTATTGTACAGGTTGATGAAGGTTTTTTATTTAAAGAAAATAATATTTTAAAAAATTGATTGGTAGAAGGTCTCAAGTGTTTATGGAGCAATGTAATATATAATTTATGGAACATCCACACAATTTTAAACAACATTGACTAAAAATATTTCTCGAGTCGTTGTTTTCAAGGTCATAATTTGCATCGTTGAGTTAAGAGTTTGGTGCACCTGTTTAGTTTTATCTTGTTTTTCCTTCCAAACACTTTTTTTAATTCTTAAGAGCGACTCTCTGTAGGGACCGAGTGAGAATGAAAAAATGTGGCACAAGGTTGGAAAAATGGACCCCTTGATATTTCGTCCAGAGATAACCTATGGTATGCTAAGAATCGTGATATAAGTCTTAGGTTC